GGGAAATGAAGAACTAATACATTTTTCATTTAAGAGTGGAGTGCCATTCCACAAACCTGACAAACAGTCACAGGTTGTGGTGTGAAATGATATTCGAAAGTTTTAAAAATATGAGCAACTCATTAGTTGTCTAAGATGCAGCCTTTTAGCATTCTTTTATGGACTATTTGTTGCGATGTAACTGGGGTGGTTAAGCTGTTATGTACAGAGGTGTCCATGGTTCAGTATATGTATTTGCTAAACCTACTCTCCAGTCTGTCAAAATGTTCATACTGAGCCAATTTCAGAGCTCTCAGTTCACCATATTTGTGATAACTGTGTGCTTTTCCCTGCCTTGTAGATATGTTGACACTCCCGTTGGTGAATATCGGTGCTGAAATGATTATCAGTGCTGAAAGATTGTCCGTTTGTTTTCCATGTACTGTAGTTGGCATTCTTGTTTAACTGTGGAAAGCAATGAAGGGTTAACACCTTGTGAACAAAGGATGAAATTATTCAGAATTTGGTTGTGAAGGAAGGTTTGTGCTGTAAAGGATAGCTTTTAAAGGAGAGCTATTAAAATAAACCTAGGCTGTTTTCTTAGTTTCCATGACCCCAGCAAAGGTGGTTTTAGAATGCAGATTCACCCTCCTGCCTTTCTTTTCACCCGTTCTAAATGTAGTGACCATGTTTTGTCAGTACTTCTCTCACTTTGTTGACTTTCTATGAAAGGTCATATTGATTGAAGAATAGTTTCTACTGAAGTGTGTTTACAAGATTTTGCTCTCTTTTGCTGCCACAAAGCTGACGTTATTGTCTCTATGGACAGATCCCTTTGCCAAGAGCTTCTTGAAGTTTCCATGTCTCACTTCTCAGCCATTTGCAGATCATATCCATAAGGCACAGAGCGGTGGACTCCTGTCCATTTCTAGCTTGCAGTCTATTTTTCATTCACGCAAGTCACTTCTGTGTGTCTGTTTGCTCTGGTGTGTTTCTTGTCTTGCTTAGGACCTTCATAACATTCAGTGAACATCCTTTTTTTTTTTTTTTTTGTCAGAAATATCAGCATAATGTCTTTCAAATAGATTTATATAAATAAAAATTGTTGATTAAAGAGCAATGCCTTTTCTCAGATCAGTACTGCTAGTGTCTCTGAACCTCTCCACTCGCTGGCTTCCCTCACTTTCCTGGGAGGCTCAGTGCACAAAGTAAAGCAGATAGTGTGATCAGCCTGCATGTGATGAGACATCTTCCCTAAGTTTCAATATTTGCTGGATCTAACTGTGCAAAGATCAATGATCCTAGCTAGATTTCCCCAATGGGGCAGCCTAATGAATTTGTTGCCAGGCAGAATATCCAGCCTCAACTCTTATTCCTCATACATGTAGGAACTTAGAAGAAGACATCAATGAAGACAAACACAAGTGCTTGTACCAGCACAGCAGCTGTGAAGAGAAGAGTGGAATGAGGGACAGTCAGAGCAGAGTTTATGGAGGGTAGGACATCTGAGTGGGTTCTTAAGCAGAAGAAAAAAATAAAAGGAAAAAGAAGAGAAGGGCTGACTCAATTTGTCCTGTTGGGCTCTTCTGTGATTTGTCTTGTGTGAGCATCACAGCATGCCAGCTTAGGACTGTGCTCCCTTCAAAAGGAAAGTGGATGGAGTTAAGCTCCTGTGATTATGACTTGTGATAGCGTTCCTCCCCGTGGCTGAATACTTTCAGGGCACAAAATCTGATGCTGTATCCCACACAAGCATCATCTCAGCCAGAATTGCTGGGGTTTTAAAGATGTTTAATAAGGAGGGAAAGGTGCATTTACTTTAAACCCTCAAGTGCTGAGAGCTGACGAAGGCTGGCTGACTGCAACAGGCTGTGCAGCAGGATTGACCTGAAACAACAGAAAAGGCAGTGGTTATTTGAGAGGTCAGACTTTGCTGCAATCTCATGGACAAGTCTTATGGACTTGTCTGCATGAGGACGGATAGTGGAGACAGTACAGCATGAGGCTTGAAGCTGAATGGGAATCAAAGGCTGTGTGAATCCTGATTTAGGAAAATCAGGCTGCTGTGAAGAGGTGAGTCTAGAAAAACTCATGCAGAGTTCATACCAGAGTTAGGGGGCAAACCTAGATGTAATGGAGTGGGCACATGGGCCAAGGCTTTACAGGGCCTGACTAAGTCTGGACATGTTGAACATGTCCAGCAAGGGGAAATTTGGTTGACTGATATGCTGCAGTAAGCAAGTGCAAGATGTTCCTGGCTGCAGAATGACATATGTCGTTTGGTATTCCTGCCAACTAATGAAGTGAAGAGTGGAGAAGGAATTTCTGATATAATTCAGTGCCATAGGAGGTCTTTGACTCAAATGATCTGCATGGTGACTGGATTTAATAAAGACTGGGATAATTTCATGACTACTGACCACATTTTCAGCCCTGTGAACCTGTCACATTTAGTGAATCCTGGACTCCGGGAAGTGCCAGTGGGTGCAAGGAAGGACTCTTGTGCTACCCAGTAAATCAACAACACTAGGCTAAAATGTGTTGACTGTCCCCCCACAGCTGAAGATGACAGGTAAAGGTCCAAACAGAACTGCAGTGTGCACAGAACAAAATTATCAGAACAGTGACATTGGGAATACCCATCAACCAGAATTTTTGCTTCAAATAGACAACAAGGAACATACATAGCTCCTCAAGCACTATAGCGAGAAACCCAGATTAGACCTGTGCCACAGACAAAATCTTTTTACGATGCCTCAAGGCTAAGAACTGACCCAGTCTAGTTTGTGGGGATGACTGGGACATTGGGCACAATGGCTGATGGCTAGGCAAAACTCGGGTCACACAAACTGTCTGTTCTCTCTAGTGATTTTTCTTGGTTGTTATTTTAAAAATATATCTCTTCTACAGATAGCAGAGCACCTAGCTGTATTATCTCTGCTTTACTTTCTCACATAGGTGGTAGAAACCACCTTGTAGCTCAATAAGTAGTGAAAGCAACCCAGGGCAAAGGGCTGCAGAGGAGTGAACCCCGACAGGCTGAGCAGGATGGCAGTGAGGGAGGCCTTCCCAGCCTTGCTGCTGTTTGTATGAAGTGCCTGGGTTATCAAAAGTTTCATGTGTGTGGTTTAATTAAAAAAAAAAAAGAAAAGAAAAAAAAACTGCAATACAATCTGTGCTCTAATTTGAGGACACTACTTAGTGATTTTAATTGTGTGACAGTATTTTGGTATTTTCAATACCCAGTACTAGGTTAATGACTGTTCCTTGAAGAATGGAGTTTATATAACGCATGCCATTACATAAGGAGGCTGGTTGTGGCCTGAGGAACAGAAGAAAAACAAATATTTAAGAATGCAAAAGCCAGAACAAGCAAACTCTATATTCATGGCCATAAGAAGCCTCAGAAATAAACAATACTTGGGTCCCAGCAAGGTGAAACTAACCTTGAGGAAGGCTAAGGACTTGGAGGTGAAAGCACCACATGTTGATACAGCGTAACTATCAATCTCTGTATTACCATAGGTTTCCTACATGGTAAGTCTAATGTCCTCTGTTCATTCAGGTTGGACAGTTGACGTTAAAAAAAGGCAGTTATTGCCTCATCATTTATTTTCTTTTATTTTTCCCAGAAGCACCTAAGCACAACCTGAGCTGAACTGACCAAATAACCCAATGGAATAAAGCCATGGGAGAGCTTTGAGTGCAATCTTTGGCTTGGACCTTAAATTTCAGGTATGGTAGACTGGACAAAGGTGTACAGGGTAATTTTTTTCTGCCAAAAAATGCATAGATCTTCTAGATCTGCATCACCCCAGCTTTTCTTAGAGGGACAAGTCCAAGGGATATACTTATATGGCAGAGATGGGAATCACTCCCAGCGTTGTTGTCAATGTGCTCGAAGAAGGGGTGGAGGCCCTGCCATTCCCAACCTTCCTTGAGTGCCCGTTAAGGCATCTTCTGGGAGACAGAGGGTAGTTAGTATGTGTTTGGGTCCAGGAGGGACTGGACCAACCTGGGGCCAGGAGTTAGGGGACCTCCTCATAAAAGAGATCATCAGTCTCGGAGCAAAAAAGCAGCCAGCAGAAGGACGTGAGGCAGCGTGGGGCTGTGAGAAGCTGTGAGGGCGTGGGGCAGTTGGTGGTTTGTGACCCACTCCCACCACGGGCTGTGCCCCCCCCACCCGAAATCCCCTGGCGGCATCGGGCGAGAGCACCCTCTGCTCCGGGCCTTTCACACTGCTTGGGGGCAGCTGCCTCTGAGCACGGGATGGGGCCGGACCCTTGGCCCCGGGCTGGACACGC